GGGTGGAAGCTGTCGGAGGAGGCGGTGTGCCGGGAGGACGTGGTGCGGCTCTGCTCCAAGCACAGCTGGGCCAACAACCTCGCCGTCCTCGAGTGCCTGCAGGACGTCCGTGAGGTGAGGGGCCGGGCGCCGGGCCGGGCCGGGCCTACCCTACCCGCGGCGGCGAACAAAGAGCGGGGCTCCGCGCCGCCCGCGCCCCTCGGCCCCGCCGCCGCTCCTCAGCGGAGCGAGTGCAGCCCGGGCCGCCGTTTCTTCTTTATCTCGCGATTTTTGTTACAAAAACCGGGGTTCGTGTATGCAGGCCGGCGCCGGCCGCGCTTCCCGCCCTTGCGCCTCCACCGCTGTGGAGCTTCGTGTGAGGGGCTGGCGGCGAGGGCAGGGGGCCTCGGGAGAGGAGCCGCTCTCCGGCACTCCTGGGAGGGAGAGGTCTCGGTGGGATGCCTTTGTTTTGGCGTTGGTGCCTTACAGGCTTATTCGGTTTCAGAGGTTTGGGGAGAGTCCTGCCCCTGTAGCGCTGAGGAAAGGTACCTGGCTGGTAGGAGCAGTGACCCGAGAAGTGGTTGTGTTTTGTTTTGGGGTTTTTTTGGGGTTTTTTTTTTGTTTTGTTTTGTTTTTTTTTCCCCCCAGGTTCAGGTTCCCACCTTTGCGTAGAGCTCACTTGCAGAGGTGGTTGTTTTCCAGTGCTTGTCTGTGTGTGTATGAAACTAGATATGCAATCTTTAGACCTGGCTTAGTTTACGCAGGGAGGTTGGCTCTGCAGTCTCTGTTGTTCCCAAGCATCTGTCATGAGTAGTGTAAGTCCAGCTCAAAAAACTGAGTTGCCACCTCAGAGTCTTTTCTAGCCCCATCTTTTCGTTCATTCTTTGGTGGTTCTTGCTCAGTTTGAAGAAGCCTTTGGGGAAAGTGTCTTTGGCAAGCAGTTTTGGTGTGGAGGTCTGTTTAGTTCTTGGCTTCTCTGCTGTGAAGTCCAGGAATGTCAGGCTGGGTCAGTTTTAATGGTGTTTTGTCAAGTGGAAATGCAGTCAGGAAAAACCTGTGCTCCTTTCTCATCTGTTATTGCAGAGACAGCAGATGGCAGTGACTTAGTGGTTACTCTCATCAAGGGGAGTCTTGAATCAATAACTGTCAGTGATTACTTCTTGGCTTAAAATCCCCAAATAATTTAGATTTTATCTAACTTCATGTCTTAATTTTGGACAGGTAGTTTAGTAAGACACTCATAGCAGACTTTTTAAATTGAGTCCTGATGCAAAACCTGTCACAGTTATAAAGTGCTGTGATATTTGCTTTATGAATAACTTGTCCCTTACTGTTTCTTCCATCTCTCTGGGACCTTTTGGACCCCCTGTTAGAGAGGCACCATCTCTGAGAGAATCTCAGAAGCTGTGCTTAGAAGCAGTGGCTCGCAAGCTACAAGCCTGCCAAAAAGGCAAGCTGTTGTTGTTCCTTTCTTTCCAGTTGTGTGGCCCCTCCCTTCTCTTTTCATAGTTCCAGTGCTTATTGGTTTTCTGCCATTTTAGTGAGGTGGACCTTTTTATCATCTAGTTTCTCAGCTTTCTGCTGGAATAGTTTTATCATTTTAGTGAGTTAAATGCAGAGGGGCAGTGAGTGCAGGGCTAGGGCGCAGGGGTGTGCAGGGAGAAGCAAAAGATGAAGGGATGCCTCATATAACACTTTATTTTCGGCAAGTACAAGCCCTTATGTTGGTTCTGCATATCTCGTGAAAACTCCACTGTCTTTCAAATATTAGGTCTTGTCTGTGGTTTTCCTTTTCCCCTTTCAAAGCCTGCCTTGTTGTCAGCAGTTTGCTAGCTGTTGGTCTTGTCTAGCTGTAATGCTGTTTCATATCCAGTGCCGAAGGTGAATCTTGTCCTCGGGTGACATCCCAGGCATCGATAGGACATCTCAGGGTTGTTTTGGATTGAGTTTTCTCTCTGAAGGTGCCTGTCTGCGGCCTTGTCCTTATTTGTCTGTCAGCCTGTAAAGAGCACTGTCAGCTGGTCTTAGACTCAACAGTTTGCCTGCCCTAATGCCGATGTGCTGGGCTGTATCCTGATGTAAAAATGACTTCCCAGAGTGCTGCTCTGAGTAGTTAATTAAAATAACTGACTTCTGCATATCCCGATATTTAGACTCTTGAGTAAAAGTCATGAGTTGTAAACATTGGGTGGCACATCGGGTGATAGGGAACAGGGTCAGATGTTGTCTCAGACACTTACTTTGCATTGGAGGTTATAGCAGAGAAAATACATAACGTATTAGCTGTTACTGTTGTTGATCCAACTTTTAATTTTGACCCTAGAGCATCTGACAACTTGTTTGGACAATACCAGAAAAGTGATGATTATATTTTAAAATGGGTGGGGAACTAGTCTTAAGTCATACAAGCCCATTTGAAAAAAATTCGGGCTATAGTAAATGGACGATTTGGGGGAGTTGCTGTATGTGGGATAGCGTCAGTGAGGACAGTGTTCGGATGCTGCTTTGCTACAAGTAGCAGATGAGATTTTTAGATGCAATTTGGTGCAGAAGCAGCCTTTTTTCCACAGATGTTTAAGATCATCTTGCTTTTCTCATAAGAAATGTTCCTTTAAAGTTGAGAAACTTTCAGTTTCAAACTGGGAGCATTACTGCTAAGATTAACCATTGATTTTTCTTCTTAGTGTGATAGAGAAAAGCTAGGACACTTTAAAATTTGAATAACCAGGGAAAACAACTATTTGAAACCTTCCTTTTGAGTCCAGAAACTGTAGAGAAAAGGAAGGATGTGTTTGTTTTGGCAGCCAGTGTGAATGCGATCACGTTATTTCAGTATCTGCTGATCTGTTAGTGCGCATGTCTTTAAAGTAAGTCCTCCTTTGCTTTTGCTGGGTAGTTCCAAATCTAAAGAAACAGGAGTGTTGAGGCTGTGGTTGACTGGTACAGGAGCCTAGCTTGTAGGGTGAATGTTGAGAAAAGCTGTTTAACACAAATATTCAGTAAAAAATAGTTTGAAACAAAAGAAAACAGTAAAAAAACCCAAACAATCCAAGCAAATCCAAAATAATAAATTTTGAAGTTTTGGTTTTGAGAGGTTACTTGTAGACTGTCAATTTAAAGTATTATCAACACAGATATTTAAGCACTGTGTATTTCTAGAATTCTTTTTTTAAAAAAAATCAAACCCCCAGACTGATATCAAATACTTTACCACTAATTTTCCAGCAAGTCAATGAAATGCTTAATTGATGTAGTGCAGAGTCTGCTTCTGCAGGTGCAGAACTCTTCTGCATTTCAGGTTGTTGAACTGTTTGAAAGGTAGAAATCAAGGGACAATCATGCTTTTCTGCTTTCCTTTCATAGTAGAAGAATGGGAAGGATGCTCCTTAATTGGAGGAGGTAGTGATCAGAGCTGGTCAGCTTAAACTTCTTTGACTATAATCAGAAAATAGAATCAAGAGCATATTTTGGTGCATTTTCCAGATGAATTAATTTCCTTCAAGTTAAAATTATTTGTGTACTGCATACATTACTGTTTTGAGTTGCTTAAATTTTGTCATCATTGTTTTAATTGTTACCCAAATAACTTTATGCCCAGATATAAAAAGAGGAGAATGGGGGGTGTATACTTCTGTTTTTCAAAAATGTGTTTTAAAGGGGTTTTTTGGAAGTTACTCTGACTGCTAGCTTGTTTCTAGAGAGACTTCAGTGCTTGTGTTTCACTCAACATAGACTGCAGCCTTTAAGCACTTTTTTATGGGGTGCTTATTAAACTAATTTCCATGGTGGTTCTTGTATAAACAAACCCATGAAATATTAATATATTTGCTAGCTAAAAATTTTTGCATGATTAATGATGACTTGCATTTAAAGCATGAGTGAGCTGTTGAATTTGAGGTAGGAAACAGTAGCAGGTATGAAAATATCTTAACCGGTGTAGTTCTCTTATCTGGTTTATTAGTGGAGCATAATTTTACTGTTAAATATACCTTAGATCTGATTAATCAATGAATTATCCTGATGTCATAATTGTTGAGCTTTACTTGCATTGTGCTTGTAAAGACTATGTAATATTCAAAGCATTATATCCATCTATATAATGCTAACGCATTATAGGCTAAATAGTTTTTCTAAGATCAAATGGTCATGGTTAAGTTGGGATTAGAGATCAAAGTTTTGGCCTCCCGCTTCTTTCTTTGTCCTGAATGGTTCCGATTCTTTGGTAGCATCTTTATGGCAGGGACAGTATAATTGAACCTGAATGCTCTGCTTTCTGGAAAAAAAGTAAGGCGCTCTTAATGTTGAGGATTGGGTTAAGAACAAAGCAAGTTAATCTTGAAGCTGTGTATTTTAAGAATAGTATTTTTCCTGTTATTTCAGATGCATAGTGTAAAATGCCAGAAAATTCATTTGATGTGACTTACAGACTAGGAAGTGTGTAACACTTGACAGGTTGGGAACTGGCATGTTTCTTCTGTATAAATGTTTTATTCCTCATTCTGTGGAGGCTTCCCTGAAGCTTTTTGGTTGCACTGAGGTGGGTGTGATGTGTTAGCGTAGCTTGATTTATTTTAATTTTTTTCCCCCTTTTATCTCTGCAGTTTATTGAGTTGGAGGGTGAAGGTTTTGTTTTGACTCAACATGCGACATTATCTCATATTTGAGCATGTACTCATGTTTCCATCTCTCACAGCTTTCCCATGCACAAGTGGAGGCTGGCATTTAAGGTACCTTTTTTGAGATGTCTGGGCTGTGGCAGCAAATGACTGTTTACCTGTCCAGAGCTGTAAGTGAGGGCTGTGGATTAAACATAGCACAGGGGTGGGCTAGTTTTTAGGAAATGCAAATAGTGAAGACACTGTTTACTGACTTGGCCATCTCCTTCAGTGCTTATAGCTTGTTTTTGTCCCACAAAACCTCCAGGCATTCTCCCTGGCTTTCAGGTGAGCTGTTTTGAATGGGAACTACCTGTTTCTCAGGGCGGTAAGTACATAGTTGTGAGTTGGAGGCTGTTCTGGTTCTCTAATCATTACTGTTGCAAAGGAGTAGGCAGTTAGTATTCCGGTGATGCTCTTGCAGTGTCTACAGCATTATCATCTGGTTCAGATATCAACACGCAAAGGGATTCTTTTTTT